ACTAGTGAGCTGGGAATCAGTGGGGTATTTGTCGTCTTGATGTATTTCTGATAATTGTTCGAAAAGAGATAGTCTTCCAAAGCCCACAGCGGCTTGCGCTGCGTGTAATAAGAGATCATCGAAAGCTGTACAGACTCGATATACTTGGTGTTCACGGCAGTGAGATTGCATAAAGAAAAATTGCTTGTAGTAAGTAAGATGCCTGGTTGCCTGGTCGCTATGTACGACCTTGCGGGAGGTATTGTCGTAGGTACGGTTACCTTAAACTTTCGTGTGAACCCTAAGCAAGGAGATGTTAGATAAGACTTGAGTTGCGAAAATGGTTCATATTCATTTTCCTCTCATTTCGACAGGTCGTAAAACTGTACAAGTACTCACATAAAATGGTGCAGGAAACTGGGCATACGATTATTTAAACCTTCCATGATAAATATTTCAGTCATTGACACATCATTTGTGGATAATGATTTCCTCCACAAGCTACACGTATAGGCAGACGATAACGTTGGCTCTTCCTTGTGGGATAAGCACTTAAGGGAAACCTTGAGAGATTTAGTTGTTGTGAATTTAGTTCAAATTCTATTTTATTATCAGAGAAGCAGAAGAAGAAATTTCTTTATCTTCATAAGTTTTAATTATGTGAATGCAACTAGAAAAGCAGAATGTGTACGGAGCTCTTCAACGTGGGCGATATGAAATCAAGTGGAAACTTTTATATATGGATGTGTGTACGTTTTCATATAATTTCAATTTTGTGTTTTTTTTTTTATTTTTTTTTTTATGCAAATTTTATTTGCATTTAAATTAATATTTAATTATATCAGGCATTTCCCACAAAATTAACAATTAACAGTCAAGTGCTTAAGAATAACGAGTTGCTTGAAGTAGACAAAAAGCAAAAACTAAAGTCAATATATGGATATGTAAAATAACCACTAATGCAACTATTGTGGATACAATTGCATACAAGTTATATTATTTGTGAGTTTCTAAGTATATGTAAAGTGTAAATTGCTTTGCGGTTAAGCAGTGTCTTCACTTATGTACTGCGAAAATGCGAAGATATTTCTATAAGAAATTTTCTTGTGTGTATTAAAGAGTGAGGAAAGAGTCGTGAAAAGAAATAAAAAACGGGAACAAAAGGAAATATTTTCCTCTTAAGAGAACTACACAATTGCATTTAATCGTAACGAACCCGCACCCAGATATGTATATATATACAATAATATAAGTTGACGTGTTATTGAATGAGGAAAATTAAACTCTTAAAAGTGCAAAAATTTGTTTTTCTATTTGTTTTTTTTGTTTTTTTGGTTTCTTGTTATTGGAGCGATATATAATTTTTCTTTAAATAAAATGCAAAAACAATTATTTAAAAATTTTAATATGTCTAAATTATGCATTTTTTTTTTTTTTAATTTTTTTTTGGAATTTTCTTGAAACGAAGTGTTATGGCGAACTGATGGAGGGGGTGCATGAATTTTATATTCTTCTCTCACTCTCTTTTTCTCTCTGATTTAATTTTACATTAAATTTCATTAAAGCATGTTTAGTTTTAAGGCAAAGTAATTACCAAAAAAGAAAGTTATACAAGCAAAAAAATATATATTTTATTTACTGAACTTGTAAAAAAAAAAGTCGATATTTTATTTTATTTTATTTTTTTTTTTTTTTTGCTGATAAAAATTTAAGCTTTTTTTTGTTGTTATATATATATATGTATATATATGTCTATGTGTTGGTTGTGTGTTAGAGTAGAAAAATTAAACGAACAAATTTACTTAAAACAAAAATAAAGCTTTAAGCTTAGCAATCCTGCTTTTTTTTTCCTCAATTACTTTTTGCCAAATTACAAATGCAAGTCGTTTTACGAGATCTTTTGATAAGAATTTTATGAAACAACTTGTTTTCGGTTCGCTTTAATATTATTTTACCCACCACACGAGCAACGAATGTATATTCAGTTTACAGTTGCATTTGTAACGTTCGAGAAATTAATAGTAGAAATATCGTAGAATGAAAAAGTTATCAATGTTTAAGCGAAAAGTTAATATAGTGTATGTTCCGAAGAAGTCGCGAACGTGTCACCACAAAGATTTCAAGTAATATCTCCAAAGACTTGAGAGTATACTCTTATCCAGAGTTAGGAAAGCTACTGCTTCCTTGAATTACAATAGCTATACGCTTTGTTATCCGCATCACACTCATATGCTATACTTAGCCTTCCGTATCTAACATCAATAGACAGAACTCACAAGCCAAGTAAGCTATAAATAAATTTCTTGTCTTTTAAATAGAACTGAAAAGTACGTCTGCTTTCGAAGATTCGAAGGAAGAAATCCGTAAGATTTGAAAATAAGAAATTAAAAGCACCTACGGGTTATATAAGCCCGTTGGTGGAATAAACACAAGATTACAATCTCTTGATCGATCTGACTAATATAACATAAGAATCGACCTATTCGAATGGCATCCAACATTTTGTACCCCTCATAAGAAGCGAGAGCATGTAGTTTGTATATTGAAGCAGGTTTTGATCTAAAAATTGCTATTAGTATTCCGTGGGAAAATTCTGTGTCAATTTGGTGAGTGAAACGCCCATTAAAGATTGAACAGAAAGCACTGATTAATGGCTTCCTTTGCACTTTAAGACAAGTAAAGATATAGTTGTACGTGATCCGTCGTAAAGTATCCTGCGTGCCTTCGCTTAAGATGTTCAATTCAAACTAGTTTTGGGCTTAGTGTTGTAATGAGTGGCAATCTCGCAATTATCTCTAAAATGAAAACAATTGTTTTAGTTGTCGGAATACACTAATAAGTGTACATTTCAGATTATTCGAAATGAACTTAAAACTTAATATTTTCACTCGTCCTTTTTTTTTTTTTAATTATAGTCTGTACTTCAAATTGTGCGCCGCTTTCTTTGAGATGTTCAATTGTTCCATTCAATGTTGCTGATTTAAATCGAATACCTAGCTCAATAAGTTCGTAGGATAGCGTATAGATGTCCCCACTAGTCATCGGATATCTTGAAAAGAGACGAATGGTCAATAGTGCGTATTACGTAGCACGTTTCAATGATGAAATGGTAAAAAACGGACCTAAATGAACAAGAGAAAAGCGTTTTCAACGAAACGGTTAACTATGTCTTAAGTAAATAGTTGTAATGGCAAAATTGGACGAGTTGCACTGCGAGTTGCTTAAACGTCTGGCGCATCTGCCTAGTTGCTGTTGCCTGTTTGCAAACCTCAACAAAAGGCTCGCCGGAATGAGATGTGGCTCCAAAAAAGTAATGATCGCCGAACCTGAAGCCTATTTTGAAGGGTTGTCTACAACAGACATAGAAATGTTTGAGAAACATTGGGATAATTGTTTTGCTATTGCAGGAGATTGTATTCATGAAACGAGCCGAAGTGTTGCCTAAAAGTTGGCGTTTAATTAGTGACTCTAAGAACTTATCGAGTGAGATATTACATTTTTCATTTTCATTAATATCGTTCTGGATGATGAGGAAAATCCTCTACTTTGAAAATTCTACTCTATGGTAAATAAGAGATAAAAGTTTTGCCATCTATTCGAATGCGAAGATTTGGATATATGTTTTAATCGATAGTTAGACATGAAACCTCTTCCTCTTCATCTACAAACTTTCTTACACTTCTTACACTCAAATATAATAAGAGAATAGAAGACATGTGTTTAATCGAATTTTGATCTTCAAATCCTTATGTTTAACGCAACTCAAGTTGTTTGAGAAGGTACCGAGAATCGGTGAAGAAGAATGAATAACTTATTATAAAAGTATAACGCGCTAGAAAGATCGTAGTTGAAAAATGAAGAAGCTCTATAGCTTCGCATATAGAGCAATTTCGCCCTGTTCGCTCAGAAGATTGCATGGAATAAACATACCACTCTCGTAGTGCTGGGGTTTGTAGTGCATAGACCAATTGTGTATAGAAATTTAGAATTAGAAGGAAAGGTGCCACCATACTAACCTCACTAAAAGCGAAGGCTACAATAAAATTACATTATTATATATCAACTACCTATGAAGCCATGCGAAAACGCTCCGAGGATTGGCAAGAGCCCTGGAACAAGTTGAGATATTGATGAAGAAATGAATATTTTCCCGGAAGCATAAAAAATTGCCTTTCTCTCTGCACGCACCTCGCACGCTAATAGGTTTATAAATGTCTGCCCACGAAGTCATCGGAATAACACACCCACAAATAGTTAGAAGCGTTGCTTTACTTTTTTTTTTTCACGTGGTGGGTAATGGGGGTTCGCCCACAGACGAACATGGCATGTCTTCTTCACTTTTTAAAAACAAATTCCATATAAATTAAAAACAAACAACAACAATAATTTCATTTGTTGCTATTTAACATGAAAATCATTTTGAAAACAGACCAAATTTCGATAGTAACACAATTATATAGTATTTTATTTTATGCCTTAGTATAGGTTTTGTTTACTCCGATTAAACGAATCAAACTTTTTAAAATACAAAAATTATTAATTAATTAATTTTGTTTTGTTTTGAAATTTATTTTACTTTTTCTTCACATTTTCTTTTTTTTGTATTTTTTATTTTTGTTTTTTTTTTTTTTTTTGCAAATACTCACATTTCTGTTCTGTTTTAAATAATAAAGTTATATATCTTTTTGGAAACGGAATACGTTTGTGTGATCTATGTTTGAATTCTGATTTTGGTAGAGAGAGAGTTTAGTTGTAGTTTTAATAAAAATAAACTCTATTCTGTTTCTATGTACATACGTACGTGTCTTTGGATTATGGGATTCTTTTTGCTCAATTTTATGGTTTTTTTCGTTTTTTTTTTTTGTTTTTTTTTTTGTTTTTTTAACAAACTTTTAATGATATTTCAAACATTTGAACAAAAATGAACAAACACAAACGTGTTAGAAATATTTTGTTTGTTACTATTTGACGCTTTAATAAGAAGAGAGTTTAGAGAAGAAATATTTTTTGTGATATCGTACCGTTTCGCTCACCTTCTTGTCCCACTGTAGGACATACGGCACCGGATGATCGTTGGGAAATTCAACGTGACAATTGAATATGACACCCTCTCCAAGTATGGCTGTGATGTGGACTGCATCTTCTGTAACGAAAAAAAAAAAAAAATTATTCCTTTTTTTATTTTAAATAACGTAATTATTTTTGGAGGGGTTAGAGTTCTTTTAAACCTATGACTACGAGTTCGTTGTCTAGAGGAAAAGACGGCAATGGTTAGTATTTACACTCTACACCACTTGTGGTGCTGGGTATATTAAATTTGTGCCGACGTTTGTAACACACAGAAGGGTTTAAGATAGATCCATCCACCTTTTATTATATCGACAGATTGAGAAAACTGTCTGTCCGTCTGATCTTTGTCTGTTATATATCCGCCCGTGTAAATTTTGTTCAAGCTACAGGTAGCAATTTGAGATAATTTGATGAAATTTCTTTGACCCAAAGCCGCACGCTATTGAAAATGGTTTGGTTCCGTCTACTTTTTCGAGCACTCACCATTTCACACTAGAGAAAACTTATAAATGAACTTAAAAAAATAACGAAAAAATCCGCAATATTTTTAGAGAGTGACAATCTGCAAATGGAGCCTTTCCGAATTTCTTATCATTCCAAACATTTGCTTACGAGTTAAAGTGGTTTTAAAGACCGTGTCATATAAATGACAAGGAAAAGTATTTGCATTTTCTGCAGCGTTACTATTGAGGGAATTCGAGAACTTTAAGTTTTTTTTCATAACACTGGAGGAAGTTTACTTTGTAATGTATACGACAGTAACGAGAGTGCAAACGTTCTCTGGACCCAATATCAGGAAGAAAGACTAAGACTACTAGCCTGACGAGCTTCCTGTTCTCTATTGCAAAGTGTAGTTTAAGTGGAGCGGAGCTCTCCGCTATAGACAAGTAATCGATGTTAGCGTCGCAGGGTTAACGTCTCAGAACATAGGTGATTTCCAGTCTGTTTTGCATGTTAGGCAAAGACGTCAAACATTCAACTGTCGTAGGCAGTATGTAGTCATCATTTTAATCCATTTGCTTTTTGACAAATTTTGATTGAACTTTCAAAATGAGTGGGATCGTCGAATGTAAGTCAGTTGATTCTTAACTTAATCCTTAATCTTAATGGGAAATGGATATAATTCGTTACGAAAAGCTTCTAAGAGAATTGTGAATAATGCAAATGGAAAAGAAAATAAGCATACGTGGATGCTCTAGCGGAAGAACTAGTTTAACATGTAAGACGGGAAAGCCGATCACCTACTAATTATACGCAGTTGTGAAATTCTCAAACCTCGACCAAGGGACACCTGGTGAGGCAATCAGCCTTATGAATATTTGCAAATTAGCATTTGATTTATTAGTGTTTGAGATAACCGCTTGAGGTCTGTTTTTTTTTCCACTACTGCGCTACTTTTAATAAGAACAACCTTATTTCATTACAGCACTTGAAATCATATAGAAAGATGTATTAGAATTAATATATATATATATAATTCAATAAGTTTGCACTACTACTGGCGAATCCATATGATTTCCTAATATTACTAATCTTTAAATGAAATGAAAATAGTTTAGAAGTTGCAGTCGTTTTAGTGACGCTACACACGAAACTCAATTTTTTTTTTTTTTTTTTGTTATTTATTTAAATTCGTAACTATAAACCCGTGGGCCAATACATTAAGAAGAAGTAGATCAAAACTAAATGATAATGGAATACTCATCTTGCTCTATCGCTAACCTTTGCATTCGTTAGTTACCAGTAATGGAAAAATTCAGGTTCTTAAGAGCGAGGCCAATTTTCGCTTAAGAACGTTTAAGAAGTCAGCAAACGATCCCAAAGCCAGATTGGATATAAAAAAAAAATTAGCGTTCAGCCAGAGCATTCGATATGCGTGGAATTGATATGAAAGGATTCCAGTTTAGCAAACTGTAGCCGTTCGATTAAAAGATTCGACGTTTGTGACAGAACTGTTTTGCAGACACAGCTTTCTAAATCTAAATTTGTAGCAGTCATAGGAAGAGTGTTTCAAAAAAAATTTGAACGAAACCGGGAATGGGGTTTCGGATTTTGTCACGGACGAAAATAAGAGTAGGTTCAAGTTTATATAAATATAGGTGCATATGATTACATTTAAGAACCACTGTAAATTGAATTGGAGTTTAATTCGCATAGGCCGTATAAAGACCGATTTCAACGGTTGGTTAAGTGTGATGTGTGTATGTGTGTTTTGAAGTTTGGTAATACAGTTTATTCTAGGTCTCTATTGAGAATTTACTCAAAGTCCATAACAATGTTCCAGTTGGTTTTCCCTGCTGCCTTAGTTGCAGACAGAGAAAAACAACTGTTCTGAGAAAGGTTCATGTTGTTTGCTTTGTTCCAATTCATTTTGTGTTACGTTGTAAGTAATATCAACTCATTTATAAAAGCCCATTATCGAGCTAATGTTGTAATTAGTTAATCTCTAGCATATTCTTTGAAATTAACAAAGAAATAATGAAATTATTTGCTGCAATACTAAGCGTTATAGCTTTTGGTTTGGCGCAAAACGATTATTGCAGTTATTGCCCAAATCATGTCGCCTGCTTAGAAAAACCTGTAAGTAATGATAAGGATGGACTAAATTTTTGGCGCTTTTGATATCATTTAACTTGTCTTGTACAGGAATTCAAACAAAATTGTCCTTTGGATGCAGAATTATTAAATTTAAAGTACGTTCAGGAGTCGATTGTGAATTTTCACAATGAAAAACGTAATTATATCGCTAGCGGTGGAGATAAAAATCATAAAATCGCTTGCCGCATGGGTACGATGAACTGGGACGACGAATTGGCTGAAATCGCTAAATACAATGTTAGAAAATGTGCCTTGAGATATGACAATTGCTTCAATACGTCCGCTTATAGGTATCCTGGTCAGAATTTGGGCACTTATAAAACGACATTATCGGTGTCGACGGACGAACGTATCAGATGGATTTTATTAAGTTGGTATAAACAAGTTGCGGACAGTAAACAAGAATATGTTGAATCCTATCCGTACGATTATTACCAAACGTGAGTTTAGTCTTCATTTTATTAATAATTTATTCGATTTTTTTTACTCTTTCTTGCCTACAGGAATTTTAGTCATTTCGCTATCATGATGTCTGACCGTAACGTAAGGGTGGGTTGTGCCGCTTCCAGTTATTCCGAATACGCTAAAAAGCTGGGAATTACATTGAATACTACACTGTTGGCTTGTAACTATGCCAGCACGAATATGGTTGAATTTCCAATTTACGATACCAACTGCACAGCAGCCACTGTACGTTGTACCTCCGGCTTTAATGAAAGGTATTTAAATTTGTGCTCAGAGAAGGAAGAATTTAATATCAACCATTGGAGCAAAAATGGTCAGGTCTATCAATAAAAATGTTCCACATTGGATGAGAGAGAGAGAGAGAGAGAGAGAGAGAGAGAGAGAGAGAGAGAGACAGAGATACGAAATAAAAAGAGATTAAAAAAAACTTTAAAACTAACGCAAAATAAATCGATTAGCAGTTTAAATATTACATGAGAAAATTTCAGTCCAACGTACACACCATTACATGTTAACGCAAGGCTATAACATGTACGGGTTTGTTTTTAATACTCTTCTCGTGCAGGTCTCGCTGAAAATTATTTTCATCGCTTTGAAACTAATCAATTCCCGTAAGTGCTACCAAAATCCTAGTTTATCGCGTGCAGCTCCACACATGTGAATAAATTAATTTTTCGTTTGTAAAATTGAAAAAGAAAAATATTTAAAAAAACATTTGAATCGACATATGGTTGGTCTTTAATTGCTGCTCGTGCTGCCAAGTTGCTAATGAAACAACGGGTCTTTTGATTCTGTATAGCAGTAGCAAGTGATTGACTTCAGATTGATTTCTGTCCAGTGTCGCTAACGTATCCTTTAGGTTTGCGCGCCATAGACCTGTAAGATAACTTGATTTTGTCTTTGCGGAACCACAAACATGACATCTTACACCAAGCGTTTTCCCCGATTATACGCACCATTACCATAGCCTGTTTTCTTGGCGTTTAATTCCGGCAAGGAAAAAAAACTACGTTTCCCAGATATATGCCTTTTTTTTGTTTCAGAACTCTACTTGTGCTTAAAGTTCAAAAGTCTATTCATTTTACACTTGATCGCGATACGTTAAACAGCCGCGTAAAGTCTCCGCATAGCACTTTCAAAGGGGGGAAATCACAGCGTTATCCAATACAATATGGGCATGGTCACACCCTCTCTTAAGAAACATATGATGTAGACGCATTCAATTATTCGATATATCCAAGGTAAGCTTGTATATTAAATTTAGAAATTTATTCACTCTGATGGTTGTGAATGGTAACCACCATATAGGAGATGTTGCCTTACGTACGCCTGCGATACTGATAGGATTTATTACCCAAAGACAAAAGAATGTAAATCTTCTACTCACACGTACGGCTCTATCCCTGTTCGTCAGTCACATTGTTCGCTACTTTTAATTAGTTATCAGACTTTTGGAAATACTAGTGAGTTACTTGTTTCGCTTCTGCTGCGTGTCAGCAAATCTATTTTGGATGAATTGCGTTGTTGAGAAAATAGATTTCTTTTTTTAAATTGAATTCTTGAAGCAGATGTTTTTAATTTAATAACTAAAACAATTAAAAAAAAATTAAACAGAAGATGGACTGGGTCTGCGCCGACCAGGGCTATTTTTGGTTTGAATCCTTTATTGGCCTACTGTGTGTCCGCGTGGATGAGGCTAGCGAGCGCCACCTATATGTATATAAATTACTTAGACTCATATTCGCTGGTTAGTCTTTTAAGACTAAAGATATTGTAAACTATTTGCTTTGGATTATGCTGATGCTTCTTATATCCCTTCTAATGTCACAGTCAAAGCCTTTAATCTTTGAAAAAAATTCGGCTAAATAGATGTCATAGCTAAAAGAGCAAAGGAAAGAAATGAAATATCAGACACTCATCTCACTCAGATAGGATATGCTTGTTATTTTGCATATAGCGGCATCCGAGTTCCTGAATCGCAATTACGAAGCTTAAGATTTTGTCGTATTT